AATGAGAAAAATACCTACAAAATTTACAGAAAATATAAGTTACAGAATGAAATAAAATAACAAGTAGAATTGGTAGCTTTTTAAAAATAATAATGTGGTAAAAGTGCTATAATTTAGAAAGGATTTGCTGTGTTTTTAGAAATTCAGATACCAATGCGACTTAAGTTTCATTGTCATTAAGTACGGTTGTTTCATACTTTCAAAATATTAAAATAGTATTGTTTTATTTGTCAGAAATCGATTTTATGGATTAAAATGCTTATTTATTATATATTAATTACTCCTGCTTTTCACCTACGTCTTCAAGCATAGAATTATGATTAATATTATGACCTGTTTTCAATTCTTTGGCTCACAGTAATAATATTTTCAAGATTATTTATATACCACTGATTTTTTCGCGTTAATTTCTTTAAATAAAATTAAAAGAAATAATAAATATTTTTTTAATGTTTCTATTGCATTGATAAAGTACAGCATTACGCCGTTTGTAGGTATGTGAATTAAATATTCGATAATTATTACGTCAAAAAATATTTTTATTTATGTATTACATCCGGGAATCAAGTCTTTAATCGATTTTTATTTTTTATATTAACGGACCATTGTTCTACTGTTTCCGAGTAAGCCCTGTCCTCCCCAATAACTATCGTTTGACTCCTCTGCAAAATTCAAATTCGCTGTGATCATCCATCTATGTTGAAACTACTTGTGAATTCGGATGTGAGACCATATGTCTACTCGTAGCATTGACTATGTATGACTCCCATCAACTATGTCAATTGTCCAAATCGTGTATTTATTTTCTTCTCCTCCTCCCCCTCCCCTCCCAATTGAGAATCCACGATTGACTCATCTTGGAGATCCTGATTCGTTAGTCAAATCGCTAACGAAAACAGTTTAAAGTGATTCGTTATGTACAGGCATGTCATCGATAATGTGTGCAAAGTATGGTCGAAACGTGATGTAGGTAATGATTCTCCCAGCCTTGGCATTCCTACATTATTAGCTTAACTGACTATGCTTTCTTTCTAACCGTTTGCATATTTATTATAAAATCTTTTCTTATGAATATCCTGATGTGTATTTTGTTTTATAACTTATCCCATGTAAGAATTATTACTCAAATTAATATAAAATTCCTAGATAGAACATCATTTGATGTAGGTAGAATGAAAAATTAGACCAACAGACCTTAATCAATAACAAATATTTTTTTATATTTAAATTAAAATTATACTAGCGTAGATTTTATACTAAGAATTCAAAACGAAAAGTGAAGAAGAACTAATTCTTTTTTTTCTCTTCTTGAGTATTTTTTCATCACAGCTCACTTTTTCTGCTACATTGAAGTTGAAACTGTTCAACGTTTTGTGATTGTTATATTTCTGCTCTGAGTGCTACTGCCTAATTTTTAACTGCAAAACCTTATGAAAACGTTATTTTTACTTTCACTTACCTATATATATATATATATATATATATATATATATATACATATAGTAAGGGACAGTATTGCGATCGTTTTTTTTTTTTTTTCGAATTAAATGTGATAATAATAAATATTAAAAATCGGAAAATGTACAGGAATCCTCTTTGAGAGAAATACTGAACACCCTAATTGTAATATGGCAATTATTGTCTCTTAATAAATGAGGCAATTAAAAGGTCCACAATTTATTATACGTATCTCAAAAATGTCTCCATGAATTGCAATATATGTAGGAAAAGTTGAACAAACCCTCACAGCAGTGCTGCCAGGTAGATGCTATTTACAGTTACTAATTCGCTGCATTTCTGACTTGACCCGAAACAGCTGTTGGGATTAATATACTAATAATTTCTGCCTGTCGACCTTATGCCACAAACTGCACTTCCTTTTATTTTAGTTGGATCCTGTCTCCATACATTACCATGCTGCTCCCAAATAAATTGCTAGTGATATACTCGGAGTAAGATCAAAAGAATTAACAAGTATCATGATCGTGTAATTTATTCCAACATAATTCTTCATTTTCATGACTACATTTCACTTCATGATGATCCGATGGTTGAGGTGAAAAATTTAATAGCAATAGAAAGTAGCGTGATTATTATTCCCCTTTCGAATTAAACATTCTTGCTTTCCTAAGTTCGATTTCCGCTAGCGTTTATCCCTTTTCTGTGTGTGTGTGTGATATTTAAACGATGATAAAAAATAAGATTTAAAAATCAATAATACAGACTCAAATGGTTTGAAGGTTGTAGACGTAAACAAAAAACAGGCTGATAGTATTTCTTTTTGGTATTATGAAAATGCTCGTCTGCCAGCTCAGACAGGTCGGTTTAAGGTATTAGGGGCATTTTAAGAAAATTTTCTCTTGGTTACGTCAAGATACAATTTTGAGTAATACGCCATTACAAAGAGGATGAAATGTTGAAGATTTCCCTCACTTACAGCATGCAGGTGGGAATTTTAGTTTCTGAGATATTTTTATCCATATTGTCAATATAACTCGTTCTTAGTTTGTTTTCGACACTATTTGTGTTCCCTTTTTCGGCTCTCTGACACTGCGTCGCGTTAAGATACAATTTTTAATAATACTCCATTACAAAGAGGATGATATGCTGGACATTTGTCATGTTTACAGTTTGCAAGTCTGAATTTTAGTTTCTTTTAATACTAAGAGCGTTTCGTGAGTGAACTGAATGGATTAAAAGTTTTATTGGAGATATGGATTAAAATATTTCAGATCTTCGTTTTGTAAGCATGTGAAATGTTCAGCATTTCTTCCTGTTTGTAATGGCGTAATGTTCAAAACTGTATTCTAACTCAGCCAAAAACAACTACCCCTTCTTATTATTATTATTTATATGCCTTAGGAAATCGATTAAGCAATTTTATTTTTAAAACCATCTGAATTTAGGTTAATTTCATTTCATTTGTTACTGCTTTGATAGAGATCCGCAGAAAATCTTATTTTTAAGACTCGAATCAAGAATCAATTAATCCATTTTAAAGCGAATATTTCTTGTTTTTCTCTGATATAGTAAAAATACTTAATAAAACAAAAATAGTATGATGGATGGTTGAGTGTAACCTAAGCTGTTTATATAATTAATTTTCTTTTTTCCCCTCTAATTACTGATAATAGATCGGTTAAAAATAGTTCCTGGTGCGAGTCTAGTGCCAGGACTCAAGTAAAACAAGAAATTCTGATCAGGAAGCTGATAAGGAGAATGGTAAAAGTGGTATTGCTTTGTTCAAGTGGTGAACTCTACTGCTATTTTTTTCTTCTAAATACCTATAATTTACTCTTCAAAAACAACTAGTTTGAATCAGTTGTTAAGAGGATAATCCTTCTCTACTTAAGCACCCTTCAGGCAAAGATGGATCAGTGCATTTTTGAAAATATATATAATAATTCCATGTCTGATCTAGAAATTAGTCAATATGCTTTATTGTCAAGTACTTCGTAGTATACCTGTTCTATCCTCCCATTGCTGCGTTATGGGAATCACTTAACCTCTAAAGAAATGTTAACTGGGATTTGGAGATAAAGGTATACAAGCTACAGTTTGGAAAATTGTATTCGAGACAATTATAGTTTGTTGTAATACTGCTCAACTGTATGGAGTTGATAACGGACACACCATACAATTCATCTGATTGACAATACCTAACGATTCAGCTTGATACACTCCGTATATAAAAATGTCATTTGTTGTTTCCTTTCTTTTCTCATTTCCATTCTTCTCATTTCTCCCAATTCCCAATGAGTCCAAAATATTGGGCTCCGCCATACTCTATATCTCATACTTTTCAACACCTTGCTTTTTTAAAAAACTAGCAGTTGAAATAGGAATTGCCAATGCTTCCAAAGCAAGGTCCTCGTACCGAAAAATTTCTCTCATTAAATTCCTCTCTATATTTATCTTTCAGATACGGAATGCATTTTTTATATATTTCCTTCTCAATTTCTATTTTAAATTCTTACTGATCATCGTTCTGTTCATACCTAATTGTAGGATCAAATGTTTGTGAATATAAAGATTTATCTAGTTTTTCTTTAAATCTCACCGGTATTGAGACAGCACAGTAATGTTTCAATTTATTTTAATATATTGGAGTTCTTCGATTCTCGGGTTCGCCATTGCGTTGACGAGAGTGTAGTTTTTGAAATTCATCTGAATATAAATACTGCCACGTGTGCACGTGTTGTCTGAAAATTGTAATTATTTTCTTTAAAATATGATGTAATTATACCCGTTAATATAGTATTGCACTAAATAATTCTGATAAGTCGTGGTAAATCGATACGCCAATATGGTCAAAATCTGTTTCAACTGGCAGAAGGACATAAGAAATACTAAATGGCATACATAAGGAAATCCGCCAGTGTAGAACAATTATTGCGATTACAGGATAAGTTTTAATATAACTATCTTTTATTCTTTGGTTTAAACTTAGGTTTCTTTGTTACCAACACTGTAATAATACACTTACAATCAGCCACATTTTACAGGAATGTTCTTTTTACATAACAAATCTAAGTAGTTTAGAGCTTACACCCCCTACATCAAACATTCGAATTGATGACGAAGACATAACTAAGGTAGCGTTAGATTTCTTAAAATCAAATAATTTGTTAAATAAAATTTTAAATCGTTTAAAAATTGAATCCAATAAACAAGATTAATTTGCAGGCGTTGATGACCTTGATGTTTTACACCTTAAAACCCCAACAAACAAACTTAGGTTTTGTTACTTACACCCTTTTGCTTCCAGGGTAAGCTAAGTCTTTGTCTTCAATGATGGTTTATGTGTTGGGATATCCGCGAGTCACTTTAACAGTAAACTTTATGTACCGCATATTTTACAGCCTAAACGTTCTTGGATTCTTCTCTTCAGCCATTGCACGTTTTCATTAATACTGTCGTTCCATCGGAGATATAACTAGCCTTCCAGAAGGAATCTCCACTACGGTCCTCAGACTAAGCGCTGGCAGTAATAGCGGCACATGACTGACGTACGGCGCTCTCTTCACGAAATACGAGCGGCCCGTGACTCGGATCTGATTGGACCCAGCGGAAAGGTTCGTTAGGATGTTCCGTCGACCTTTGTCATGTATTTCTTCTTACGGAGCATGATCCCAATATCAAATCGTGAGTCCAATTTCGAAATTGTATTATGACGTTGGAGATTTCGTGTAGTCCTTAGAGTTAATAAATGTGAACTATATAGAGCAAGTTATTAAACTCAGTACTGCCCTCATCGAAGGCATAGAAATCCATTAGGACTTTAATAAACTCTTCGTCGGAATTCAGCGCGTTCCGTAATTCATCTATTTAATCACAGATGGTCCAACAGGCTATTAGAGTCGATGGATATCACCTCATTATAACTTCACTGATGTTATTTCTTATTTACTTTACATATTTATATTTATTTTACTTTCTATTTGTATTTATTTAGATTTTGAAATTAAATAATTTAGTAGGTAGGTATTTCTTTGTATATATTGTTTTTATTTGTAGGAGAGAAACATTTTATTTTCATAAAATATAAAATATAAAGGATTGCTGCCCAATTATATTGGGTTGCTATATACACAGCATACTCTTCTATCCTTAAGACAATATATGAACTTATATATAAATATACAGAAGTATTAGTTAATATTAGTAAAATAGAATATATATATATACATTTTTATTATTTTATTTATTTTTATAATTTTTTTTTTTTTTTTCCTTTTTCCTTCTTCTCATTGTTCATGCTTTTTTTTTTTTTTTTATTTAACATTAAGTTTCCCTTTCTCTCACTTCTCTCTCTTTATCGCTATTGTTTTCAATTATTCACTAAATAAATAAATAAACAAATACATAAATTAAAACTCTCGGGCTAGCCATGCACGTGGTGGTGAATGATTCCCAGGGAGTCGAGGACTATATTTTCAGCCAACCTCGCTACGTCCTTAATGTCGACACCTAGTTCCTCGAGGAAGCTCCTTGTTCTTTTTGGGATAGTTCCGCGAGACCCAAACCAGAGGCCTCTCACGGTGAACTCTCTCTCTCCGAAGGTCTCACGGAATTTCTCTTTTAGGAAAGGGATACATTTATCGTACGTGTTCTTCTTTTCCCTTTCCACTTCACCCGCCTGATCGAGGTCATTGCTCTCAAAGCGGACAGTTGGATCCAAGATCAGCGCTGTCCTTCCTGTCTTGGGAAATGCGACGATATCAGCGTATCTCGTAGAGCCTTCACTATCGATGCAATATACCTCGTCAAAGCAGGTGAATTTTTTTTCCCTAAGGAGCCTCATCAACTCGAACTTGACCCGGTGGTGACGACGTGTTATGAGGAGGGAGTTGTTGGGGCATTTTCCCAGCACATGTGCTGGTGTTTCAGACTCTCTGCCGCATTTACGGCAGAGGGACCCAACTTCTCTGACCTGTCCGCTGACTCCTGGGACTCCACGCAGGGGTGCATAATTAATGTTTAGTTTTAGGGCATTCGACCATTCAGACCCAGAAAGTACTTGCTTTTCGTAGATGTATCTATTCGCTTTCGGGGTCTCTTTAAAATGGCGAACACCAATACCCTGCCACCTGCAGTTGGCCCATTCCTCAAATGCATTTTCTCGTAGCGACTGCCGTAGAGCTTTCACATTTCGATGACCCTGATCAACCCCCAATCTCTCGGCACATTCAGCAATTTCAGCCGAATAATCGAAGGTAGACTGAAAAAGGGCATCTGGTACATTGGACAGTCGCTGAGCAATGGACCAATGTTGAAGAGGAGCCTCCCATTGGCAGCGGATTAATCCCAATCCTCGGTATCTCCTGGGGGCATATAACATCGCTGTGGAAGTATTCGCAGGGAGTCCAATAATGGCCTTTACGCTCCTGCGAATCATAGTGTCGATGCCCTCCAGTATATCAGGACGTAGCTTTGTTAGGGGCGCAGTTTGGAGAGGGTAAGTAAGACCCGGGAACAGATATTGATTGACAATGTTGAGTTTCTGCTCAGGTTTAAGTAAGCAAGAGGTTACCAGCTTGTTTAGATTATCATTCAATAAATTGCTGTAAATAGATACTGGATTCAATCGATTGATAAATTCCAATCTGAATTTGGGAACTTGCCCATTATTTGGAATTGTTAACTATCGTCTGTCATTTATGAAAATCGGTACCTCTTGATGTTCAATTAAAACTCATTTCAATTTGTTCTCTGATGCGTTGTGCTTTCCGTCCAAAGTGAATTTAAGATTTTTGCAACTACTGTAGTACAATTTAATAGGAAATTGTAAAAAAATTATAAGAAATATACATGTTAAAAGATTGTATTACTTACAAAATTAAGATGATGACTATTGTTAGTTAGTCCACAAGTATTTAAGATGATTTATTTACCTTGCTAATGTTATGAATGAAAATAAAGTTGTAAAAAAATATTAAAAGTGCAGAAAAGCTGCATAATTCAAATTAACTCCATAAAGTACTTCAATGTAATAGAAATTTTGTTATTAGTCACAATAGAAATACCTATTATAAATTGTATTACTTACAAGAGGAAGATGACGACTGTTGTCAGGTAGCCCAGGTGTATTTCAGAAGAATTTTTTCCCTTGCTAATATTATGAATGAAATTATAGTTCTAATAAAAATGTTGCTAATTCCCCTCGCATTTAACTAAAGGAAAACCCGCTTCAATAGTTCGTCAGACTTCTTAGGACAGATTTTCTGTTATTGTGATCTCTTCCTTAAAAAAAGATCATTTAGAAGTGCAGAAACGCTGCACAATACAAATCAATTCCACAAAGTACTACAATTTAGTAGGATTTTTTTTATTAATTATAATAAAAATACTCGATACAGATTGTATTACTTACAAGACGAAGATCACGACTGTTGTCAGTTAATCCTCAACTATTTCAGATGATTTATTGACCTAGCTGATAACAATAAAATTAAAGTTATAATAAAAAGATGGCGAATTATTTCTTGGCAATACGATACTGCAGTCCCTACTTCAAACGTTCACTCATTAATTCCAATGGTCCGGTCCTACAGCCAGATGCGGACCCTGGGCTCTTCAATGAGCCTTACAAGGTGGCTCGGTCCTGTGCATCCGCTCCCTCATTCCATATTCCCAATACACCCCTTAGCATATTAAGTACCCTTAGGCCAGAGTATCCTTAATGACCGCCACGATTCTGGAAGTTTGCTCAATAGCAGTTTCTTTGAGATTCCTTCCGTCGTTCATTTTATTAAGTGTGGTCGACTGAGGCAGGCCAGCAATGTAGCAAGGATGAACCTACTGCAAACATTTCTCACTAATGTCTAAAAACGTTTGTCAGTCTTCTTAGAGCAGTTTTTCTATTATTTCTATCCATTCCTTAAAAAAGACCTATTAGAAGTGCAGAAAAGCTGCACAATACAATTTAATTCCACAAATTACTTTAATTATATTAAAAATACCTGACACAGATTGTATTTCTTACAAGAGAAAGATGATCGACTGCTGTATGTTAGTCCAGATATACTTCGGAAGATTTCTTTTCCATAATTGATATAATCTGAATGATCTCTTGGCATTACAAAGAAGCAGTCCCACCGCAAACATTCATCGGTACCAATGGTCCGGTCCTACAGCCCGATGTGTACCCTGGCCTCCTCAATGTGCCTTAGCGAGGTGGAGGAGTCCTGTGCAGCCGCTCTCCCATTCCGTACACCCAAAAGGGGCCGAGCATCCTTAATGACCCCCAATAGTCATGTTTCCCCAATAGTAGGTTCTTACAGATTCCTTCCATCGTTCATTTTATTAAGTTAATTCAGTGGTTGACTGAGATAGGCCGACAATGTAAAAAGAATGAAGCTAATGCAACATTTCTCTTCCTTAAAAAAAGTCTTTAAGATGTGCAGTGAAACTGCACAATACAAATTGAATCCGCAAAGTACTTCATTTTAATAGAAATTTTTGTATTAATTATAGTAAAATACTTATTGTAACACATCTCAAAATAATAAAGAAAAAAAAATACTAAAAATTGCAAAATCAACTATGAGTGGCCTCATATCTAAGACGGATATTTTCAGTAAGTGGAGAAAAAGTCAATTTTTGTTGTATACGTTCTAACCAAACTGTTTCTGATAATTTTATTTAAGAATTAATTTGGATGATGTCGAACAATAATGTATTATAAATATATATATATATATATATATATATATATATATATTACAATTCTCTATAAAAAGTCTCTAAAGCAACTTCACAATATCAACTTCGGATTTTCGAAATATATATATATATATATATATATATATAACTATATATATACAACTAAAGATAAAGTACCTATCGATAAATTAACGAATATTATTTATAAAATAAATTGTAAGAATTGCGACAACAAAGCATATTTTGGACAGACATCCCAATGGTTTGAAAAAAGGCTTAAACAGCATAAACAAAATTGTAATTCAAAAAACACAAAAATTAAATTAGCTACTGGACTCTCACAACATAATATGCAAACTAAACATGAGTTTGATTTCAAAAATGCCAAAATCCTACATAATGAAAGAAATACGAATAAACGTAGAATTAAAGAATCAATATACATAACTAAAAACTTAAAAAACTCAGTAAATAATCATACAGACGTGCATAATATGAATACTTTTTATGCTAGTTCTATTGAAAAAATCAAAATTTGAAATAAATCAGCTAATATTACTTAAAATAGATCCACATCTAATATTGAGTAACAGCATTATATATGTATATATATATATAGTTATATATATATATATATATATATATATATATATATATATATATATATATATATATATATATATATATATATATATATATATATATATATATATATATATATATATATATATATTATATATATATATATATATATATATATATATATATATATATATATATATATATATATATATATATATATATATATATATAAATATATATATATATATATATATATATATATATATATATATATATATAGTTGCTTTAGAGACTTTTTATAGAGAATTGCGCGATTCAATATTTCTATTTTTCTGTTCCAGTTTTATTCCTGGAACAGCCCTAATGCTCAGACTATTAATTGACTTTATTGCTGTAATTTATCAACCCCTAACGATTCTAAATTTGTCGTAACGGCTGGGCAAGCAGATTCCTGTTTCGAATTCGTGGCGTCTTTATTGAACCTCTTAACACAATTTTACGAGTTCCTCACCGGGATATATGTTATTACCTTGAGATACGTTAGGTTGGAATTGGTTAAATGCGCTCTGCCTCGCTCCAGATCGGTATAGTGGCACACTACTACTTTATTTGTTTTATATGTGTGAGTATAAATATATATGTACACACATATTTATTCTCTGAGGATTTCGAGGTTCGTGCATCGAGTAAACGAATGTATTTTGGTGACGTTTCGAGGTTTTTTTGTTCTCATATTCTTCATGGTCTACTGGGAAAAATCACTGCACTCCTTAGTAGATTTTTTTTTTTTTTTTTTTTGTGTGTGTCCTCCCCTTTCTCACCTTCTACGCTATACGGAGTTTTCTCGGACCAGGGGTAAGAGCGGGAGTTAATTTTAGAAAGTTAAAAGCCTCCTAGGGACCGGGACGTGAACTCGTAATTATTTTATGTTAGAATTTATATTATCAGGTTGCCGGGAAATGCGGTGGTATGCACACGCATTACCCGCTCTGCTACTCCCACCTACTTCTTAGTAAAATAGGAACTTAAAAAAATAAAATAAAATAAAAATCATAGGAATCAAAATTAAAAGTGATCAATTCGTAACATATTTATGTTAACACCTATTCTTCTCAGATGTGCCCAGAAGAGAGTTTCATGACTTAAGTTGCATCATCAAAAGTTTTGAGAAAGACTCGTTTTGACTGGTTGTGATTTTTTGGAATGGAAAGTTTCAAACCAGGAAACCAGAGGGAAACATAAAACAGGCCGTAGCAAGTGTAATTGTATATAATGAACAATTTTTAAATTATACTTTCGCTTGCACAAATTTTTGAACAGGGGAATAATAACATATCTTGGGAGGAAGGGAGTGAGTGGGAAGTTCATGTGCCATCCACCTTGGGGAGAGAGAGATATTCACTCATGTATCTTCTTGTTTGCAATACGAATAACTCAGCTTAAGCTTGTTCGCGTTGTCTATCCTGCACTAATGTTCACTCTATTAGGATTCTTGCATAGGAATACTTATTTTAACTATATTATATCAAGTAACATAGTAAATTAAAAAATAAAATCATCTTTTTTTTTTTTAATTTATGAAAAGTAGTAATTACACAATTTTATAGTAACTAATGTGGTCCATTCGTAGGATCTTCCAGTGAACTATATTGACAGTAAATTGTCTACTTAATAAGGAAGCTTTTATTTTACATCCTGTCTGGGCATTTCTGTCATATGGTGGAAGGAGAGGGCAAAGCCTTCAAGTAATCAAACTCTTCTAACCAGAATGGGAAGGTCGAGATTATTCATTCCTTGGGCCCGGCGTAAAATCTATTCTGATCTGCCCAAACCGAATTCGAAAGGGCACCTCAAGACTCGAAGTTGTAAACGACCCGCTAAACATCTCGGCCGCCATTGCCACGGACTTGTTTATTATGTTCATCAGAAATTCACTCTATTTAATACCCGTTCAAAGTATTTACAACTTCACCCTTGTAATTTAATACCCATATCGACGACAATAAGGAATGTTCAGCAAGATTTATATATATGGGGCGTATTAATTACCTCAGAAGATAAGAGTTTTCCCTTCAGACAGTCCTTGATGGAGAACAATCTTGAGAAAACTGGAGCCGCTTCGCCCACTACCTTCCGTATCCAGCCTTCGATGCCTTATCGATCATGGAATGTAAATCTAATTGCCCTGACCGAGGATTTGTAAGGGAGCCTCCTATTGGCCTGATCGGCCGCTCTTATCACTTCCTGGAACACACAGCCGCTGTCTTTACTATTTATGTTAATTGCGTTGTAAATAAAGCAATCTTCTTTTAGCTCAGTTCAGCCGCAGTTCGAACTCCATGGAGACGCCTTGAAGAACCTATTACGCCCCTTAAGAGCCTATTTATTTATCTAATTATTCAGTACAAACACGATTGTTTGACTGCAAGTGATTTAAATTGCTAATTAGAGTTAGTCATCTAAGAGCTTTGTCACTTCAGACTTAATGGTTTTCATAAACTGATTTTATTATTTTGTTTTCTCTCTCGATTGTTTCACGAACAATGAAATGAACAAATTATGAAATCGGATCATCTTGAAATGGCACCTTGTGCCCTGTTGGAATCATTCATCTTCACGTTCCACCCTCAAATGCCTTTCCTTATGTTCGCGTTTCTACTTCCCCTTTCACATTCCTTCCACAAAGGTAAGCATTGCTAAAGAGGAATTATTTTATTCTTGTATCACTTAACTCCTACCTAAAGCCAAAGAGATATCGGATATTATTTATTTTTTATTCCTCAAGGAAAAAAAAATAAACCTACCCTCTACCGGCAGGACTGTGAAATGGTGCGTGAGCTACTTTATGCCCCGTCATAAAATTGCTTTTTTACTGTGTGCAAACGGTTTATTGTTCAGAGCATGTTGTCCATATCGTTTTTTCTTGGGTTCGTCATGATTACTTTTTTTTTTCTTCGTCTTTGTGATCAAAGGTTGTACGTGTCCAAGTGTTTACAAGTTGGATTGCACATGAAATAATGCTCGAATGATTTCGGTGAATTTTGAATCCAAGATATATTAATTCTGTATTTTAATGTCGTTTCATTCTCCATATCCTCGATTAATAAAGTAAGCTATTGACATGTTTACTTTAAAATAAACAAATAAAAACATGTCTGTTTAATATTCTATTTCAATCCGTGTTGAAAAGTTGTTCTGAAATTCAAACGTTTTAATGGAGTTGTTTTATCAAAAGCACGGGTGCCTTTCCAAAATTGGGTATTGGTAAAATAATATTGTGATTTTATTTATATAATTCCCATTACATTGATTTAAGTAAAAGTCATAAGTAAAAAACTAAATATATTCGTGTACAATTGTACACATTACACATGTACAGTAGTGCTCTAAATGTTTTTCTTATTTATTTTTAAATACAAGTTAACGACTTGTTCACCCTTGTTCCCAATTAATTATAATTAACAGTACTAATCAAAATAATTTATTCCATCTCTCCCAAAATTAAATGCATTAGCTTATTTCTTCCATATTACACTATCACTTTGTCACTGACCACTATCACTTCATTCAGGTAGTTAGGTTCCGCGGATAATGCTTCGAAATAATAGATATGTATTCATAATTTATTTATTAAAACTCTACAGCATTCTCTTATCTCTCATAAATTCCCTCAAATGGAATCAAAGAGATTCCGTGCCAATAGATTTCGATTTATTGCTAACTATTATAGAATGTTAGATCTTATTGGTTTCAACTCAATACCGGACTAGCTCCCATTCTTATCGCAACGACCATCCACCACAAGCGGAAGCTGCGGGACACAGGAAGGCAGGTACATGAACCATCAATAATTCATGAGTACATCCTTCACTTATTGTCCCATCATACCCGGTGGTTCCTCGACTGCTGGTGATGCCTCCATTCTCGATGTCATCCTCCTCCGAAGAGAGGAGGCTAAGGAACCAGAGGATTTGCTGGTCGCATTGGAATGGGACGTTATGTAGACAATGCAGTGACATTTCACTCTAACTGTACAGATGCCTGCCTCGTCCTGGTATACATCCTTATTGGTTCTCCCCCAGAACCGTAAGCGTTGGAACTTACCGTAATCTGTATCGGGTAGTTACGTCCTAGTGAGCATTTACTTCACGCAAGGAATCGTGTTGTGGTTTTATAAATATTTTGTAACTATTAGATAATAAGACTTAGAGAAAGTTTGAATTGTATTTCATTACGGATCGAATAAATGTAATCATTGTAAAAACTTTTTATTTGTAGACATTTCTTTCAAGTTAAATCATTAAAAAAAAAAATCAGTAAAAATCAAATATTTCCTGAAAATACTGTAATTATTGAATAATATCAATCTAGGACAATTTCAATAGTGTGGAAAGATTACATTCGCATTATTTTTACAGAAAATATACATAAATTGAATAAAAGCAGTATAATAAACATAGCTTTAAAAAACATTTACATAAGAACAATTCCAACTTAAAATTAAATAAAGTAAAATAAACATCTGTAACAGAGAAATTGGAAAACTGACTTGTCCCACGCATGAAAGGAAAAGAAGAATACTGGAAAATCCTTTCTCTTCTTTCTAGATCATTTTACTGTCATAGGTCTAAGTGAGGCTTTAAGAGCTATGGGAGCAAACGCAAATGAATATTTACAAAAGATCTCGGTGCCACTGCCATTTGAACCTTCGGATACAATTATAGGAATGGGTGGAACTAGATAGGGATTGTGCTATAGGATCAGGATGATGAGTAAGGTTTTTGTAAATATAATTTGAAAAAATTACATGGGATGAGGTATGAAATAAATGTGATATTATGGTTTCAGTGGAAGATTAGCACTCCTGTATAGGAACTAAACATACGCAAAACAAAAAAATGTATAATGAAATACCAACCTGTTGACTATAGTCATCGGGATTTTAGACTGCATGACCAAAGGGTCCATATTGGTTTCGAAATTGTCTTTTAGAGTACTAATCTCTTTTCTCTATTTAGCAGTCTATATAATTGGCGAAATCGGCGATATTTATATTTTTATGATGTTATCTAGCTATAAATTTGGTTTCAATCTCGTTTCAGTAGATATTCCAAGATGATTTGTCATTAAATTAATGGTGAATACAATTTTAAATAGAAAATAAATCAGGCTTGATAAATTCTCTTGGCTACAGTTCCAGTATATAATTACATTATAGTATACAATTATCCATTATCAATGATACATCAAACCACTTCGTTACCTTTTTGTTCTTGCCTTGAAAGGGTTTCCATGTCCGTCGTTCTGCCATCACGCTCCTCTGACAAGGTTGCCCGTCAGTTACACGCGAGTTCTTTGCGCAATAAGGTGTACCACGGTGGCGTTAGTGATGCATAGTATAAACACCATTCTTATTATCTATGGTTGTAGAAAAACAACTATTGCAAAAACGTCAACATTTATCTGTAAGAAATCCTACTATTTCTAACTCTTTCGTTTAATACATCCATAAAGATGACAAGCTTTGAAAAACCACCATGATGAAAACAATGAATGTCAATATCGTCATTAATAGTAATTTTTTAAAAATATAAACAAATTAAATATTTGATGGTACGATATATACTAGGTACAATAGTTGTCGATTATTATATCAGATATACTATTGTTTTCCACCGTTAAACTTTTTTATTTATATATATGTAAAAATATATATATTTATATATATATATATATATATATATATATATATATATAATTTGTAAAATATATATATATATATATATACTGTAGTCCCATTTTTTTCCTATTTCTTGAAGAATATTTCTTCTCGTGACAGCGACCTGAAAAACCTATTCTTGTCAAGATATTTGATCTTCTTTTGAATCTATTTTCGAGAGACGAAATATAAGAATCGTGTTGAAACATCTGACAAGGACCATTCTTCCGGGTCGTAATCTTACTTGTTAATAAATACCGGTTATTTTTTATTGTTATAAGTTTACGAAAAAAAAATTATTTGAATTGTATATAATTAAAGATTAATTTCAGAAACATAGCTTAAGATTGCTTAATGTCGGGTTATTTTTTAATTTATATAAAATGTTAAGTAAGTATTCCACCTAACCAAGAAGACGTGGTGAAAAAATTGGTATTTTTCTTTCAATTCCTTTTTATTTTATATTTTTATTATTTTGTCCTACTTCGTGTAATTATTAAAATCAAAATTTAAAAAAATAATACTTGCAATACATCGAGTAATTTATCAATTTTTTCTCGATATAGTATCTGTGCGTATTTAACATTTTTTAAATTTAATTTAAATAAACATGTTTGTAAAACTGAAATTCTTTGAAGGTACATGTTATTCTTTTATAAAATAGCAATGATTTCTTACTTACTAATTTAAAATGTGTACCTATTTGGAATTTCTACCTGTACTTCATTTCCTGTTTTTTTTTACGTTAAGTAGGTTTTTTATGTATTGCTTTCCCATCACCGATGGTAACGCATTACGCAAAAAGTGAAAAATAATTGCGTAATGCCAAAACTCGCTTTTTATATTTTAGATTTAAGAAACAAATTTGGTTTCGAGTTTATCCGTTGTGAAATCCACATGGCAGGCATAGTCCTGTATCATTTTCATTTTGGTTGTGCATTGTTCTTTTAACGCCTTCAATTATTTTTATTTTTATTGCCACCTTAAAATGTTATGATCCTTTCATAATACTCCACTCATACCTGTTGAAGGGATCTTAAGTCACCATCTGGAAAAACGTCTGACTTGGAATCCTCATTTAGGACTGAAATGACAAGAAACTGCTAGACGATTTCAGCTACTTCAACACTTATTAACTAACACTCTGAACTTCCAATCAGTTACAAAATACTCTCATACATAACTATAATCAGGATTATTTGGACTAGGGGAGTTGAGTATAGGGCCTCCACTAAACCTTCAAATTCTTCTCGTATCCAATCCTTCGCAAAGCTCCTGATAACTCCTTACTCAGTCACAAATAAAATTATATATATTGTTCCGTATGTTACCAATTTAGCCCAATTCAGATACCTTCCATAATAAACTTCAGGGCCATCCACACCAACTAGTTTCTAACCTTGGATTCTATTCAATTTCTGATAATCCTCCAAGGCGTCTGAAAAGAAGATGGCCTAGGCATGTTCTGATTTAGAACTATTATTGGAGTTTTATCAGTGGGTAGTTTCTCTACCAAGTCTGTCCATGTCATCATTATACCAATTCATATTTATTTGTTATTAAATTTTAGTTAGTAGAGTTGTAGATTTCAACAAATATATATAGATTTTAAAAATGTTATGAGAACGATATTATTTAAGACAACTATAATTTTAACTCAAACCTATCAATAGGTACTATAGAAGTTGACCTATGGTAGGACCTAACGAGAAACTATACTTTTCCGAACGATTAAGGTAAAGTGTTATGATGCCAGCTAATGACCTGGTATTAAGTGCCTATTGACCTCAACACAAACACTAATAGCTTAATGAACACCTTTCCATACCTCAATCCCTCCCTCATTTACATATTATGGTCTTTCAGGTACTCATTCGCTACGTTTTACGTCTCTATTCATTATCACTACGCTTCCTCATAGGCCCGTATGTTGTTTAAGGATACCATAAAAGTTGTATTGTCTGATTCCGTCACCCATGTTTTATAAGTTATTTCTTCATCTGGCTGTTCGTATTCAAGGTCATTTATTAATTTGTATCCCTATCTTAGTTACATATTTTTATAAAGAGATTATGTTTCTATGGACCAGAATCCGCTAATCATTTCATTAGCATTGTATACAGTCCATATTTGCCCAGAAAGGTTTAATTTCCATGCCCGCTCCCAGATCGTTTCCAGTTTATCTTTTTTTTTCCCTCCCTCCCCCCCCCCCCATGTAAGCCGTCGAGATGGCGATCAGATAGTACGCTGTGCCCCCAGAGGCTAAATGTATAAATCAGATCATAATTGGCTTTAGGAGCTATGTATCTATTAGAGTTGGTCCTTGGCTTGTCTGCCGGCGGATAGTTCGTGAAATGATTAATGCCTTTGCTGAATTACAATAAATGTAGTCTGCCTCGTAATAATAATCTTTTATTCTGATCTGTGATATGGGAATGGCAAGTACTTGAATAGTAGAACTTCAAGACACTGAGCATACGTGATAATGTTCTTGCTGGTATAAATTGAAAATTTGAAGGTAAAAGGATTATTTTGATATTAATATTTCGAAATAAACCATCTGCATAGCCTTGTAACATGATATCTTCCTTTTCTTAACTTCTGATAATATGAACCTCCATGTGGTCGATTAATCACGAATGCACTATGAATGAAAATTAACATAGGAGTAATTTAATGGAGAAGACGCGGGTACATATCAATCGAAAATGGCACCTAGGCCATGCCTTTCGTAAATTATCTTTATTTAAAAATAAATACACCCCCCAAAAAAATAATCATAAATGCTACAAAACATTTATTTTCTATTTTATAATGTATTTATTTGCTGATTTTTTAAAATCAGTTTTATCCATTTCTTATCGCTCTACATTGAGTAAAGCTATGTAGCCTATTCTTTCATGACTACAGCATTACATGAAATGTATACACTTCGTATACATTGCAGCCCTCAAATACGAAAGTATTAATAGTCCGGATTACCTATTATTCGTTTAAAACAGCTCACCAGGGGCAGGGATCGGGAAATTATTGAAATGTAGGTTATATTATTAGTTTAGTTGGATTTTTAAGTGTAATACTTACTTAATACTCTTATTTGTCCTATCTTGCATACGCCACTGAGAAGACGAAAATAAAAAAAAGACGAAGAATCGGAATTATTGATAATATTTACTTATTCTAGCAATATCTATAATTGATAATGATTAGTAATGATATTAGCGGATAGGGTATCCGAGCGAGCTAACGCGTTGTTCGGCAACCTGATAAACCGAAAATATGATAAAATAAATACGAGTTCGCGTCGCGGTGCCGGTGCTTGATGTTAAAACTGGAAATAATTCCCGCTCGCTCCCCCCTGGCCTAAGAAAAAAACACCTTAGCCTAAAAGACGAGTAACTAGAGGACAAAAAAAAACATCAAATTGTAAAATATTTCTGTATAATAGTTTTTTTAGCGATCTTCTTCGGAATAAGGATGTTAGAAAGATAGCTAATTACTTGTGGGTTGATGGTGGTTGACTGTCGTGAATAATGAAGAGAAGGATGGTTGGGATGATCAGTCAGAAATAAAAAGGCAAAAATAAATAATAATATTTTTACTTACATTGTTTGTTTCTCATACCTTGTTATGTGGTTCTTTTCTTAACCCTGATCTTCAGGTCAAAACGTCGGCAAATGTTAAAATAAATATTATTATTTATTTTTTGCCTTTTTATTTCTGACCCCAACCATCCTTCTCTTCATAGCTAATTATTTATTCGATATTTTTATTATATCGATAATAAATTTTGACTACCGAAGGAATATATTTTTTCTTTCAAAAAAAGTTCTAGAAATAAACAATAAAATAATAGAACTGCCTAGAAGGAATGCCAGCCGCCTTACTGGTGAATATATAAAAATGATATTATTTTTAAATCCATATTTAATCGATTTTTACAAGTTACTATTATTTAAATAGTAAAAATGTTACTATTTTTGATCTGTAAGATATGGTTGTCTAATGTCATTTCAGTTTCATTAATTGTACGTTTTCATTCCTTGTCGGTGTTTCGATTTCTTATTCATAGAAGGATTTAATACAAAAGAGGTATTTAAATTGAAGATTTTAATTTGTGTTGATACACTTTCTGTGTATCAACTTGAATTGAAATCTTGTTGGTCAGATTGTGAATAGTATTCATGATAAAGATATCACCGTTGAAGAGTTTGTGGGCACCTCACTTATAAATTGTTTTTATTATTTACTTACATTATATATTAGTTTACTTCATTTTTATAATTGTTTTATTTCGTTTTGTTTCAGTTTAACTTCGTTGGAAGGATTCTTGGGCCCAGAGGTATGACAGCTAAACAGCTTGAACTTGAAACTGGTTGTAAAATAATGGTTCGAGGAAAAGGCTCGATGAGGGATAAGAAAAAGGTATAATCAATGCCAAAGAGGTATTCTTTTTTATTAAGGCAAATCAAATTTATTTGGTATATTAATAAAAAATGAACTAATTTTGGTATTTTATTCATATTATAAACTTAATTATTAACTTGAATCTGAGAACTTAGTTATTATGCTCAGCAGGTTTGTGTTAATACATTTATTAAATAGTATCCTCTAGTTTTTAGATTAAATGAATGATTATTTCATTGTAGTTTGTTCAAAAAATAAGTTGAGAAAACTTTGAAGTATTCTGTAGTAACAAGAGGAAGTTTATTTTCTCATATAAACTTGATCTAATGAACATAAATCAAATCATTTATATCAGCTGAATACGTGGTTGCAAATTAAAATTTTGTAATGAGCTTATGTCGGATATTATTAAAATTTAATTTCTTTTTCTGTATTTCATAGGAATAATTAATGGTTGTTGCGCTTTACAGAAGATTTTTATTTACTCATTAACTTAAAAGTCAAAATCGCTTATGTCCCTCGTAACTGTAAATTTTCCACAAGACCTTATTTTTAATTAAATAATATTTATTCATAGAAAGATTACTTATATATTCTATAAGTTCTTCGAAGTGAAAACATGTTTTCTGTTTATCGAATTAACCGCTATTTGAATTAGTTTTCAAACATTTGAATTTTTTTCCAAACTAATAGATAATATAATAATACCTACGTTTTAGATTTTAACATTTTGTAATGAAAGAAAATTGACATGGGCTCACATCCCTTTGAATGAGTAAAACCAATTTAATTGCTGTTATAAGATGTTAATTTCCATTGTGTACCTATTTTCTCACAGGTTTTCATTAAGTATTATTTTTTATATATTTTAATTATGATTTTCTAGTTTCAAAATTGTCTTATTATGTTGTTAGGACTTTTTAAATTTAATGTCCTAGTTTTATTCAGTTATAACGTCGTTATTACCTGCTGATCAGATTTCACAATCTAAATCCAGGGACAGTTTCATTACCTTTTATTTACTTAAGTCCATCAGGTCAGATGTTAAGATGTGTTTTCCTACTGTCCAATTTGGTTGTCACAGGGTGTGTTGGAGTTTCGTTCTGATGAAACTCCACTATACATCTTGTATAAATACACTATGATGGATACAAGGAATGACCATGGCCTTCCTAATTTTGGTTAGGAATACCTTCTAAACTTGTTGATGGCTCTGGAGCTCTTGTTGGAGAACCTTAATATGGTTTCAACCCAGGGGTGCCCATCCTCCCTCTCCCAAGGTCATATTTGTGTAATAGTTTAATGTTTTAGCTGAATCTGTTTTAAAATGTATTGATTTGTCTGTGTGTTTTTAGATAAAAATTGATTCTATTATTTTTCTTTGTGAACTATTTGATTCCTCAAATAATATTTTAGATTAAATTTATGTGTGTTTTTAATACTGTGGTGGACTAGGGCAGTTTTATTATCTAATTTTACACTATTTGAATCTTAAATGTGTTGATTCATTCTTTTTGAAATATTTTATCGGGATTCACTAATGTATATTGATTCACAGTTAATGCATTATACTTTATAAACCATCCTTTTACTTTAAATTATTTTGATTATATGATCCTGTATTTATATCAAAGTTATTTTCACTAAATATTTTTTTTATTATAAGTTAATGTGGGGATATAATTTAATCTATAAATGTGTTGATTTGTTTGCTCGATTTATTATCTATTTTCTTATGATTAGTATTGGTTAAAATGTTATCTGTTTCTTTATTATTGTTTGAAATTAAATAGTCTTTTATGGATTTTTGGTTAGATATTTTTTTTATTTTGAGTTTTATAGGTTGAGAGTTCCGGGTGGTTACTTTATTAATAAAAGATTTTGGTCTATTTTTATTGGTTTATTGACTTAAAAACACATTTAGTTAATAATCAGAGAACATGTTTGAGAACAAAGGTTGAGAGAACATGTTTTCAATCAAAATATTGTAAATTTGTGTTTTAATTTTCTTTTATGAATATATTCTTTGTAATTTTACATGCTCTAATTATAAGATTTTTCGATGAGTTCATTATCTGGTATTTAGGAAGTTGACCATGGCAATCAAGTAGTCTATTGCTGATTATATTTTTTTTAGTCCGTTTTTTGTTTAAATTGTTACCATTATTTTTAATTATCATTAAATCTAAATATCTCAACTTGTTATCTGCAGGTTTTTCAGATTTCATATTCCTCATAACAAAATAATCTTCCTTAGGATTTATTGATTTGTTTTTAAAGAAAAAGAACATCAAGACAATATCGAAATCGCCTCTTGTATGATCCGATGCATCAAAAATCACTTCTTATAGATTTTTCTGACCATTCCTCCCCTATCAAATATTAAGTAATAGATAAAATTCTTCAGAAACAGCAGTAGCCAAGAAAATATTCTGTCATTTAGTTTGGAGAGATGTTCTTTAAAAATAGTATTGGCTAGTTTTGGAGTAGCCATTGTGATATTCAGTGTCACCACTAATCCACTAGGCTATTTCCAGAAATGTTTGTATCATGTTACCAATCTTTTTTGTTTATTTCTTTTCTGCATTCTCGGATTAGGAGATCATCTTCTCCCAGATGACGTAAGTAATTCATATCCATATCCTGATCATTTTTTCAATTTATTTTTTTTAATTTACTTATTCCAAATTTTAAATTTACTATGTGGATATGTTGAATGTAGTTATATCTATATTTAAGACATATACTAATTTATATTTATATTCCCTTACATAATGAATATCTAATTTCTAATGCTACATATCAAAGATTATTTACAGTTAATGTAGATACATCCTATTGAAAAATCTGTTCAACATTCTGTTCAATCAATCCCACCAATTTATTTTATTTACTTTGTCACATACTTGCTTTTGATTCTTGAAATTTTTTTTATTATTGTTTTTGCATTGTTGTAAATAGTATGATACTATTAGTAGTTTATTTACTTAGTTTAGTTTATTTATTTATTTTGTTGTTTATTTATTTATTTTGTTGTTTATTTATTTAAGGTATATATCACTAATATGAACTAATTTTAATCGGTCAACTTTTTATTTTCATTTTACAGATTTTTATTTATTTATTTTTTAGTATTTACCATATTTATAAGTACTACATATTAATACATATCCATATATATAATAATAATAAATATCCACTAAAAAAACCTATAATAGGTTAGTGAAAGTAAAAATTATTCTTTGATAAATAATTTAATTTTGAAATTATCTCGTTTCACTTGCATATCCTCTTCTTTGACATAATTGTGCTTTTTAATTTATATTATTTTATGTATGCATTTTTTTAATTTACGTTGGACATATTTGAACTATTACACTTTGCATTCCATAGTTAATTAGTCTGCATTTATTTTGTTTCATTGTTAGTTTAATTTTTGTAGTACACTTGCACAACATTAAAAAAGTAATAATTATTTATTACTTGAAACTCCCTTAGTACGTATGTGTGAATGTTGTACAAGCCTGTTGGTGTTAAATTTAAATTTGTTTATTCTTATCTTGTAAAACAGGAGGAAGCAAGTAGAGGAAAACCAAATTGGGAACATTTGAATGAAGATCTTCACGTGCTGATCACTGTTGAAGATACTGAAAACAGAGCAAGAGTTCGCCTTGCCAGGGCTGTCGAAGAAGTAAAAAATCTCATTATTCCAGTAAGTTAAACAGTTTTATATGACTATTTTAGATTAATAGAACTTTTTTGTTTCTTTATATGTACATACGTAAATATAAAGAACAGAAAAGAATTATTACTTTAAGCTGTACCATTGTGATGTAAATGAAACTTTGAACATAACCATTAATCAAAAAAACTTAATACATTTACCAGCAAAATAAAGTATAACATTTTAAAAATACTATCTCCAACAATTAAATTTTTTAAAACTTAAATCAATTATTGCATTAAATAGTTTAATATCAATAAGATAAGTTGAGATTTTATTACCAAAACTATGTTTTAATCTTGCATTTTTGTTTTAGTTAATATATTGTTTTTATTTTTACTAAAAACATAATTTATTTTTAAGATTACTTACCAACTTTTTATCAATGTTGCTGTCTGTCACCCTTTTTTTTTGTGATGGTAGTTATTCTATTTGATTAAGCATTTCTGTCTTTCTTTTTATATTGAAAAAAAACACAATCTTCATTCCATCAAATTCCAGTAATAAAGTTTCAGGCAGTTTAGTTTAAAATTGGCTCTCTGTTTTTCTAGGCTGAAGGAGAAGATGAATTGAAGAAGAGGCAGTTAATGGAATTAGCAATAATTAACGGAACATACAGAGATTCAAATACAAAAGCTCTTGCTGCTGCAGGTAAATTTTTTTATTTATTTGAACTTTTTGACTTATAAATAAAACATAGATAATGTAGTAGTATTTATTGTAGGATCCCTTAATATTAATTTAGTTAATTATTATAATTTAGAAATTCAATTAAATAATTGTTAGATAACAGCCATTTTATTAGAAATTATGGTTTTGAAATTTTGGTATTTTTATTCAATGATCTTTAATTTTTTTTTAGCTGATGAAGAGTGGCGAAGAATGGCTTTAACTGCTGCTGCAGCTGAAACCCAGCGCTTGATGTCACCTGGGATCCCTGGATTGGCCACGCCTTTGAGGACCCCAACAACTGCCAATCCTCTAGGGGCTCCACTCATCCTGTCCCCAAGGATCCCAGTGCCTACTTCCGCAGCACCTCTGCTTTCGCCACCTGAGGCTCACCCCCACCAACTTATCTACACGCCGTATGCTGACTATACCAATTATGCAGCACTTGCAGGCACACCTCTTATTTCAGAGTACACAGCTGCTGACCATTCTGGTGCGTTATTTGCTCGCTGACAGGTGATATTTCCCTTTACACCGCCTAGTCTCTGAATGAGTCTCATCAAATCATTTTCAAAGACACAAGTTACATTTACAGAAGGTTTAGCCATTGAAAACTTCTATATTTTTTTCTTTATTCATTAACACATCTAATTATATGTTTTGGAACAATAATTTCTTTTTTTCAAAGCCATATTATTCATGTTTAAACTTAGGCGAAGATGATTTTAAATATCTTCTTGTCATTAACTCAGTAAATTATCTTTATTAAAATACATTTATTGAGGTAATGACAGTATTGTTCATACTAGCTACTCTTATGTCATTTTATAAATGGACTAAATCTCACTGTCACATCCACAGAGGGTGGCTTTTGGGCTGAAACCTCCTCCCAATTTTTCATTGTTCCATATTTTTCTGTGAGTGATTTTAGGTAAATACTTGAACAATCACAATAATACATTTTTGTTTTAAATTATAACTCTTATTTAGCTACTGAAAGTAAATATGTATCAAGAAAAAATATACAAATTGTAATTATTAAAAAAAAGAAGCCTCCTCAAAAATTAAATCTTGGGTCCAGTACTGCTAAGTTTAATTATTTTCATCACATTTAATTCGTAGCATTACATATACATTTATAAAAAATAGGGCTTTGTTTATTATTAAAAGTTGAAGTATGTGGATAAATTATTTTTTTAAATCAATTAATATTAATATATTTTGCTGGCTTGTTGAAAACTTATGCATTGTATCAGATGAGACTTGAAAGAGACTTTGGTCTAAAGGGAAAATAATTTAGTTAGCATTTATAAATATATATTTTATTATATGTCATATTTAACTTAATCCTTTTCCTGTGAGTATAGAAATATGTTTATCATTTTATTGATACTCATTTAAAGTTTACTTATTTAGAATGCTTTAGGATATTGTATTCACAGATCGTGGCTATTGGGAGCTTTATTCATTTAAAGGGTTGTTATATATTTTAACTCCTTATTTTCATAATGTATTTCTTTCATTTAAGTTTTTCCTGTATGAGGCACTATGATAACAATATTTTTGTATTGGAGACTAGGGTAGTATTTTTTTTCTCTTTAGAATATTTTGCACTGAAATTATTATAAGCAGGTGAAAAATTTATCAGTGTTCATCTATTAAAGTTATATTTGATTAAATTTGTTTGTATACTACAGACTGCTAGGCATATGTGTTGTGCTAAGAAATATTCATGCGATTTTTTTTTCCTGATTAATTCTCAGCTTAGTTGGAGTAATCAATAAAATATTGATGATTGGTATCACAAGAAATATTCAGTTATCTCTTAGTTAACCTTTGAAACTTGAGTTTTAAATTAATTTCTGAATTATTTTTATAGTTATATTATAATCACGAGGATAAAAAACATTGACAGTCAGCACTTGGAATCATATCATTGGTTTGGAAGAGAAGTATGATATATTAAAAAAGGACTATACTTCAAACCATTTCCCGAAGATGTCAATGATTATTAATCTGAAATTGTTACTTCATAACTATTAATTTATTTTTGTAATGTGTGTTCTATATTTTTCTTCTTATCTTAAAAAAAATCTCTCCTATTTTTCTTCCCTGTTATAGTAGTCTAACGGTCTTGAAGTATTCTCGTAGCAGCTTCATATCGCTTGTAGTAATACTGCTAGTATAGCTTATACTACTTTTAGTATAGTATATACTACTTTTTCAAAATGTAAGCAGCATATACTTTTTTGTGAAAATTATGTTATTTTGATTTATGATCGTCTCTTTTTTCATACCAATATCCATATCACTTTATTCTCCCTACTTGAGTGGTATCAATATTATTTTAAAAAATAAATAAATAAAACTTGAACTTACTTCTTTTACAATTTGTTAAAGACTGAGAATCTGGAATGGCACGGTTTTCTTCCAAATCGATGATATGAATGTAAATAAAATATCTCAGCTTTCTGGTAAAGATGTTGATCATGCTTTTCACATAAATCTTACTGTATTTGCTCTCCTATTCCTATTGTGATTTTTACTCATTTTTTCTTTTCTTTTCTTTTCTTTTAATCTCCTTTCCTTATAAATAGTTATACAGTCTTATAAAATTAAAAAACAATTATTTTCAATCTTTTTTAAATAAGAAGTTACATTTAATTGTGTGACCACTAAGTTTTCATTATTATTCTTTAAAGTAATTATAATGAATCAGTATTATTGTAGTCAGTTTTAATTTTAAATGGAATACGGTGAGAATTTCAGCTTGGGACTTGCATTTCTGATTTGGCTTCTGATTTTAGGTTGGAAGCTCCTGAGATGAAGAATGAGAGCCTACTCTCTTAATTAGTTTGTGTTGTGTCTTTGTGTTGTGCGCGCATGTTCATTGTGCATCCTCCCTCTTCCTTGCGCACACATCACATTTCTTCACTCGAGTACACAGAGAATGTCCCTGTATTAACATCTAAAAATCTGAATTCAGATTCGGGTGTAGGACACTTATTTATATCTGAAGTAGCAACTTTGCCTGCATACTTTTTGCATGCTTACATATTTGCATATAACTTTATCAAAATAATTGCTTTTGAGGAGAAAAATGTGGACATAAAAAAATCAAGAGGCCTCCTTCTTTAGTTTCTAATTTATGTAAATTCAATAACTTAACAGTGTTTCTATGTTTATTTTTATTATAAATTAACAGATGCAGGTAATATATTTCCACAGTTTTTTTTGTTTTAAATCATTAAATAATTGTGCCATAAAGAAATATGTAATTGGAGAAAAAGATTAATATTATAGATCAATAGAAAGAAGGACTATTGAAAAGAAATCTGTGGTTTCAGAAATGGCCCTCTCTGATGATCTTCCATGTGCCAGCATTACGGTAATTAACTTTCCAGAACCAGCTCTCAGTTGGCAGAACTACGGCCTCTCATTCACTTCCGTAGTCAATTGATAATTGCATGTCTTCAGTTTTCTTTTTTCTTGTTTTTTTCTTTTTTTTTTTTTTTTAAATCATTCTTATATTCTAGATTGTATCAAATGCAATCTTTGTTAATTTTTACCATATTTAGTAATTAAGATATATAAGCGTTTCAATGTAAATGAGGAACAAAAAAGTTTCATGAAACTGAGAGTTCTTCTATATTTTTGTTTTGTTTTTATTACGTACTGTAATGATTGCATTGCTTAATTTTTGCTTAAACTTGTGTTAAACAAGTGTGGTGATTGTTTTATTTTTCTTTGTTTTTTATTTTTGAGGCTTGCATTTTTTTTCGGTGTAGGCAAAGGTGCTACTTTTATTTTTTTAATAAAAAAAGAAAAAAGATTTTGATAAAAAGTGAATATATTTTCCACTATCCAATTTGTACCTCATATTAAAGAATGGGACTATAATTAATGTATTATTGAAGTGTACATATGTTTATAAAGTTAGGATTGTTTGTGTAGCTGAAGAAAATGAGTGTTATAAAAAAAAAGTATTTTATATTCAATTAGAAAATTGTTTCTTCATTGATATTAAATGAAAGATAAATAGTATTGTATAGGTATTATATATTTTTTTTATTTTATTCATATCTTTATAATATAAGAAATATTTTTAATGAGTTATTCGTATTTTATATTTACGGCAGTACGAGATTTGAGTATATGATACTCATCAGCTGCAGGTTTTTTTAGTGCATTTTTGTGTTTTGTTTTTATAATTACAATTTATTTAATGCACATGCAATGTGTATCAAAAACTTGGTATATGACTAAATATTAAATGTTTTAAGTATATTGTTACATTGTGTATGTGATGTTTGCTGGGATAAAATGCTTATCTGTTATCGCATTATGGTGCTGGCCCATGCTTCCTTAACATTTCTTGTTTTTGAGTTAGATCCGTCATCTATTTTATTCAGTGGAACCAGTTTTACTATTTTCTGACTAGAGCAAGTTAATTTTATTTTTCTCTGAATTCATATAAGGCTGGCCTTGTATGTGATGTAATGTTAGGATTATATTTAATTTATGAATCGGGATTAAGTAAATAGGAATGATATTTTCCTATTTTCAAAATAAAACTTCTTTCGTTATTATCATCTCTCCCACCAACACTAATTGGTGCGCCATCCAATATTCTAGAATATTTTATGGAATCCTATTTTATTATTTTTAGGAAGTTATGCTTAAGCTGTCTTTAGTAAAGGTTAACGGTATTTATTTGAGGAAAAATAAGTGTATCCTTAAAATAGACTATTTTTCTATGTTCTAAAAATAGACACTTTTTGCTTTAATTACTTTTTTTTTTTTTTTTTGTCCATGAAATTATTATCCAGGGACATAATTGTGGTTATTAAAGTTCAAAAAAAGTTGGCCAAGTTCAAAAAAGATATCAATCCATTCAGTCTTATTGGTTTATTCTATTACTTCAGTTAATTTTTACTTTCAATTACCTACTAATTAAATTTAAATTGAACAACAATTGCAAAGATAACATTCCATTTTGAAATTAATATTTGACTTCTTTTTTTTTTTTAAGTTTTCTTTACGGGATCTTTTGACATGAATCAGCTTATTTAAAAAAAAAAAAATAATATTATTTACAAGACTGTTGTGTTGTTTTGAAACATCAAAATCCCAGTTGTCCTGTTGTAGTTCTGATAGCTCTTTTAAAAAAAACTATTATTAATTGAACATATTCTTCCTGTATCTTTGTGTTTGCAAAATAGGTACCAAATCGTTAAATATGCCTTCAGAAAAAATGTTTTTCTATAGAAACCAAATAAAAAGTCACCTTATGTGTCTTTACAGTATAGATTGTTATTGATCCAGTAATGTGTAATTCATGTAAAATATTTACTGACATTTTCTCCTAGTTTAATGTTTATTGAATTCTAATAATTACACCTTTAAAAAAGTAAATGGACATATATGTTAGTTATTTAGTACTATTTATCACAACATTTAATCTCATAAAAGAAAATTTTAGGCTGAATCATTATCAGAATACAATCTCAATTAAAGACTTCTGATACAAGCTATACATATAGTTTTATGATCAACTCAGTGGCTACTTTGGATCAACAGCCACTTGCTAAACCATATCTTAATTATTTCAATTATGAATTATCATTTATGATTTCCAGTTTTCATATTATTTTTTTTTCTTATTACTAAATCTTGTCTTTTTATTATTATTAAAAGTAAAGAATCCAATTAATTCTTCGCTTGAAAGTATACTACATGTTACTATAATTTACATTTTAAAAATTTTTAGAGGTCCGTTTTTGATAAAACTTGCTTTGGATAAGTCTGAAAATGGATTTTGCTGGTTTAGACCTTAATTTCATTAGTGGTTATAGTGTAACTGCAGATCTCAAGCTTTCTGCTTCTGGTGACAGTATTTCTACTCTTTCAAACTTAATTCTGCTTAATGAAAAGCATTGAAAAATCTCTTCAGATTCTATCACTTTTCATTTTAATTGTCACTGAATTTGAATCTTATTCAATTGATACATCACAGCTTAAGAACTGAGATATTCCTATTTTTATTTTGTTTACTATTAATTTTAGAGACCAACATAGGCACATATGTATGTACATGTGTTTATGTTTTTCTACATTTATACATATACAACATATGTATATAAATAAATGGATAAATATTATATTTTTATATACATGCGTGTTTTTATTTTGTTTAAAATAATCCATGAAGCATATGCTGAATTCCTAAGAGACTGATTTATATGGAGCTAACAATACTTCCCTCGCTTAAGTAGTAAATTCAATGAGTGTTTAACAAAACTAAAACAAATTCTCAGACGAGGGGACCAATTGTTACATTTCTACAGGTCAATTTTAATTAACCTTTTGATCCTAATAACTCTATAACTACTCTGATGTTAACATTGCATTAGTCATTTCACTAGAACTACATCGCCTAAATATTTATATTTTATTTTGTTATATACTTTTTCAAATGTTTTATATTTATATATATATGTTGGAAATATCTGTTTAAATATATATTTTAGAATTTTTGAATGCAAAAAGGAGTTATATTAAATATATTTGCTCCAAAATTTTATTTAGTTAGTATCGACTCTTTGTATATATAAGTAAAAGAAGAAGCAAATCTATTGTATTGAATGTTGAATCTGTAGACTCAGTGCCATACGGTGTAGTCTTAATCACTGGCTGAAAATATAATCAAATTAGGATTAAACTGAGACTATTAGTTGCCATTGGGTGAGCTCAGGCTAGAAAAGAGAGTGAATGAGTGAGCATATGGGAGAATGTATTTATTATATATGTATATTATTATTACTATTATTATTATTATAAATCGGACTTTAGGGATCTGATATCATTGTGAATACAATAGTCATGTCTGTTACCAGTCTCTCACTCACCTTAAGAGCTTTAGCACTTTATTTAATTATCTGCGCGGGTGCAGGTGCTGCTGCTGCAGCTGCTGTTGCTAAGCAACGCAGACATTTGGGTCAAATTCGAGAACATCCATATCAAAGGGCGGGTGCACTATCATGAAAAATTTTCTATCTTTCAAGTGCCCCCCATAAAGGTTAGTTTGTGTTTCCCAAATAGTGTATTTCTTATTTATATATTACATTATATATTGTTGTTTGTAGACAGTTATTTTGATTTTATTTTTATTATTTTACTTTGTTGTTTTATATTATATTTTGCAGGAGAGAACAAGCTTTTAATTATTAAAAGTTTAATCGTAATGCCTTGCTGGGAGTTTTTTTTTTTAATTTTATATATTTTATTAGTATAATTAGGTTGTAAATATTTTCTTTCATAAAAACTTTTAAAGTAAGGCATTACAGAATTCTTAATAGGCTGAGGAAAGAAGGACAATCTGAACATTGTAACTGTGGCACTCTCACAGTATAAATACATGACAATACTAGTCTCAATGTTTTGTTTTTATTTTTATATTATATATGTATTTATTTATAGCTGTTATATCTATATATATAGGAAAGATCCTTTACCAGTGTTATCAAATATAGCTTTAAACTACCATTAATAGTGCAGAAACTGAATGCATTTTAGACAAGGTTGTGATTTTAGTACAAGGTGCTAATGTAAAAATTGATTCGTCCTTCTTTTCTCAATTTAACGAACTTTATTATAGTCAGGAATGTCTGTTGACAAATGTTTTTAATATACATGTTTTATATGAAATTATACACGAAGAGATTTATAGTTTATATATAATATATTCGTATATTGTTAAGAATATTCTTACATTGTATACAACTTGAGCCTGTGGTCTGCTAAGTTGAAAACAAATTGTATTCAGTGGTGCACAGAAATACCGGTTTAATAAAATTTTAAAATAAATATAATCTTTTTTATTTAAATACCCTCCAGCCTTGAGCACTTTGTAGTTGATGGAAGTTAATCATAATAAAAGTAACATAATTTATTAATACTTATTTATGAGAAATTAATTAACCACGATTAACAAACCAATAAAAACCCTTAATTATTAAAATTAACTCCACTTTCCTACACCTTTTGCACCTAATGAGAAATTGGCAATGGTTCTAATTTTGTTTATTGAAAATTAATATATTAATTGATGTGGTTTGCTAATGGAATTTGGGAACTAAATGCACACTAATAAACTTCATCCACAAGGCCAAGTTGACTAACCGTCTGTATTTAGCTTCTCTGGAATGTTTTTTCATTTTTATTTTTATTTTATAAATTAAAAAATAAATAAATGATTCAATGTTTGATAAAGTTAATTATAAAACTTTGGTCATTTTTGATGTTCCATTTAATTAAGAATGCTAAATTAATAGTTTCATTGACAATTTTAAAATATATATATAATAAAATATACCAAAAATAATATTATTTTTTAAAATTTAATAATCTCTTCTATAGTAGGAACAAATAGTTGGTTATACACATTTTCTAAACCTTTATTTAGTCTACAGCTAATACTCTCTTAATTACTATTAACTGAAAATATGTACAAAATAATTGTTTTCTAGTATGCTATTGGTGATGGGTATGATATTGTATTATAATTCTTCTGTGAATAATCATGGCTTATACACATTACATGACATTCTAACACTAATTTGTTGTAAACATTATTTTTAATTTATTATAAATTTGCAACTGTAAAATGAAATGCTGCATGGCTTGCTATGCTATATGAATCAAAGTTTCTTTTCGATTAATAACTTATTTGTATGAGTATTAGTCATGATAAATTCACACTAGACACAAACCCTCTTTGAAATCTGTGGTTAATTATTTAAATATGATTAATATTTTGATCACCGATTCCCTTTTATTTCTCTTCTCTGAATTGTAGTTCATTAACTCTTGTTTCTGTTTTTTTTTTTTTTTTTTACAATTATTTTATACAAATCCTTTATAACACAGATTTCGAAAGCAGGAACCTTTTTTAGTTTCAATAATTTTTTTTAAAATTTACAAATTTAGTTAAACGGCATTACAAGGACGTGAAACTCACTGGTTTTATTAAATGCTTTTGGGGTATATAGGTTTTTAATTAGTGCTTTTTTTAACATTTACTGATGCATGATATCACTTATTTGTTACTTGGAAAATGGAATAAGTTTTTATCTTAGAAGCTTTTTGTTATTTTCCTTGTTTTATTTATTTTTAATACCATCCCATACTGAACTATTTTCTCCTTTATTTAAATTTAATTTATTTAATTCATATCCTCAAAAATGCCGTTTAGCAAAAATTTGGAAAATATTTTTCAATTTTTTTCTTATTTTTTATAAAGACTATCATATGCTGACCAATTTGGAGAAGAACTAACATTCTGTTTTCTTGTTTAACCCGTTGCCGTTAGGCTTGGCGTTGCTAACAATGGATAACTCGCACGACTGTGGTCCAAATCCTAACCCAAACCCGGGAGGGAAGATATCGCCACATCACCCATCTGACACATGCAGGATAATAACTCATTTAGCTTTAGTGTTTAATATTTTGTCACGGGTTTTCTGTTCTCCTATGAGCAGGGCCCTAACCCATAGCACAGCCTTCCATCTTTCAATACCCCTATATTGTAATTTTCAATTTCCTTAATATTTTATTTTAAAAACCACTTCACCAATATCCCACCTTATAAATAACATATGTAGTTTTGGTGGCAGGACTGTTAAAATACACCTGCCTGCATTGGAACTAATGCGCACTATTTATTTTGAGCGATATCATTTTTCACATTGCTTGCTACTTACTACACCATTAATTCCTTTCTGTAGGTTTTGTAAAAAGCTAATTATATGTTTTTCACTTTAGAGAATGTGCTATGATTTCAATGTACAAACTACTCTTACTACTGCTACTTAATATATAACTTAGTATTTAATAAAACTTCAGTTAGTTATATGCATTTAATTGTATTAATTAAAATGAAGATAATACATATGATAGTAAACAATATGTTGTTTATTATTGTAAATATTTGTTTTTATTATTGAAGAATAAATATTCATGAATTAAATACTCAATTTGCAGTATTAATTTTACATGTTATAATTTTCATATATATTTATATACTTATATTACTTTGGTTTTCTTGAAATGAATTTTGACAGTGAAGTCTGTTACATTGTTTATTAAAATTATTGACATTATTATATTATATTTATTATTGTGCCAAATCTACATGAAGTTGGCAGTGCCTTTTGTTAGTTTAATGATACTTTAAAGCTATTGTTTACTATCATATATGTATATGTATACATACATACATATATATATATATATATATATATATATATATATATATATATATATATATATATATATATATATATATACATATACATACATATATAGGTTTATGACACTTAATTATAAAATTTGGATAATTTTATGAAGTTGGTGTGTAATATGAAGGATGTGGCACATCATTGTGCCTTTGTTAGTTGGTTTTTAATAAGAGAAGTCTTCTCATGTTCTGTTATTTGGATGAATTTTTGCAAAAAGCGGTTAAATATAAAGCGATAGTTTTTCTTTAGAGGATTGTTACGTACACTGATAAAATATATATATATATTTATTATTTTGTCTGTTCTCACTTACAAATAGTTTATATTAGTTGAAAAATAAGAATTATAATTTTGGATAAAGGCAATTTTCTAGCGTTTGATCAATTTGTGTTTTGTTGAGATATTTAGAGCTATCTATATGTAAAAAAAAAAAGTTAAAATAAAAATGAAAAAATAAAAGTTAAAAAAATCATATAGATCTTGACTATGGTAATTAATTGACAATAATATATAAACTAAAAAAAAAACTTAGTTGTGTATATGTTAACAACTATTTATAGATTAAGTTATAAGGAATTAGTCCTTAGGTAAATGCAATATTATTATAATGAGTACCAATTGCAAATTTACATTTGCAAACCTTATTTTTCCATCATTTAGGACTGATATATTATTTCTTTTTATTTTTTATGTTTGTTAATTAAGATTGGTTTTATTTAAAGAAAGTTATGATCTTTGTTATTTTATAAAATTTCAAACTTCCTATCTCATAGAAGTTATATTTCAAACCATTAAAATAGAAAAAATTTCTTGGCCAACCAAAAGTCAAAATTAGTAATGTGCAATACTTACTAATACATATCTTTGTGTTTGATAGAGGAAAGAAATCTCTGAATTTCATATGCTAACTAAATGAATCCAATTAATTTCATTAATTGTAGGTATTTATACATTTGTGTGTATATATTACAGCAAATAACGTTTACTATCCAGGGTATAATAATGGAATAGGTTGTCAGAGAAATGTCTCGTGCCATGATTAAATTAATGTATTATTAAGAACACATTGTTATTTGTGCATATTTATATTTAAAAAAAAAAAAAAAAATTCAAATTATTCTTAGTAGGGTTATAATGCTTTAAATAGTAAACATATTATTTTAGTTCAAACTAAAATCCGTAACATTTTCTCAAACTTCTTTTTAAAACACTATGAAGAACAATAAAATTGAGCTTCACTAAACTAAAAAAAAGTTATATATAATTTTTTTATGAACAAGGTATAAACAATTTTTTCTTCCCAAAGTGGTTTAGGCCTGTTACTTAATATTTAATATTAGATAATAACAATATTTTTCTGAATTAATAAAATTGGACACTAACTTTGAACTATTTCTTTATAAAGTTATAAAGCAATAACCTAATGTTCATAATAAATTATTCTTCAAATCTTTATAATTTAAAAAGTCAATTGAATTTGTTTTAAACATTTTTTAATTAAATATGAAATAGTCGAGGATTGGACATTTTTTTGGCCTGGACATATTAAGGTGTCTATGTTTACTATTTGTAGTCGTCAGTAAGTTCTTATGAAATGTCGGTGTTCAAACACTGAATTTAGTTAAGTAGTTTTAAAAGATCTTCAGTACGTAATAATCAAAAGGCCTTAGTGTCAGTTATGGTTATCCTCTTGCCCAAATTGTTTGGTGCTTTAGTGCTAGAATATATATATTTATTATTTTTAGAGGAATTCATGCCCTAAAATTTAAGTTTAATATTTCAATATAAGAAATTTTATTTGTCACAAATCGAATATTATTGTTGTGAATAATATAAAAATAAAATAACTGTTTGGTGTAGTAGTTTGTTTTTTTCTTTCCTCTTACAGCTTCATCACATGGTTTGTTGAATGTTCGTAAATTGATTTCATCATATATAAATACAATTTCAGTTTTACAAGAAATTAAATCATTACAGAATATATATATGCCAATACAGTATTACTTTTATGGGTAATAAATAGTCAGGATGCAGTCATTTTAAGATGTTAAATAAAAATAAAATGACTGCGTCCCAACTATTTATCCCCCATAATATGTATCCATATGTGCTTGTTTTAGGTGAAAATTGTCTAATATTATAAAATAAGGCTCCGTTTATTTTTTCACCATATTTATTTTAATTTTCATAGCTATGTTTCGGCCGGTAAGCCATCTTCAAGCCATTTTATCCAACCATGCTTTTTGCATGTAGTCCAAAGTCTAATTAGACACTTCCACTGTAAAATTTAAATTTGGCTTTAATTACCTACTAATATGTTGTTCTATTCATTCATATTTATTAAAATAGCATTTGAATAAACACAGCCATATTTTAATTTAATAGGGATCCAATTTCATTTATATTTACTTAGAAAATAAATTTTACTTTATTTATCAATTCCAATGATGTAACTTAAAAATAAATTAATTAAAGTAAAAAATAACAATGAATCCCAGGGGTATTTTCAAAACTGACTCAATCCATTCTCCAAAATTTAACAGGAGTCAGAAAAAAAATTTGATTGTACTTTATATAACCTAGATGAACCTCTGAGTTGGGTCTAATTTTTGCGCTGGATTGAGACGCTTTTGCCCAACATGGCTTTGCTGGGTGATGTATTGAGAATTTCTCAAAAATAAAATATAAAACAGCAGTACTGTTCCTTACATTGTACTGAACCCAAGACCCTTCATTTGTAGTGGTACATTTTTTTTTCTTTTATCTTCTATTCTTGTTTAAGCATTTATAAGTATTCAATCATTATAAAGAATTTCTTTCACCAAGATTATTAAAAATCAGGGAAACTTATTTCGAACTGAATTGTGTTTGTTACATTAATAAACTCGCTTCTTGGTGGTACTAATGCTCTAAAGTTCAAATTTATCTTATTTAGAATATACAGACAAAAATAAGGTAATATTTTAAAGAGAATTGTTGTTCATGAAATAAGAAATAAAAACTTTAAAAATAAATTCTGCAAAGTGGTGAATTAGAACTCCTGTAATACAATAAGTAATTTCATTTATAAAAGTATATTATTAAGTAACGTATTGCAACTGTTAGTGTGAAAGGTCATATGTAACAATTTTCCATGTTAATTTTATTTGTGCTAAAGGTGACATTTGCAGTCTGCAACTGCAATAAATAGTCTGCTACTATGGAAAATAGTATAGGGAAATAAAATATGAAATTATACTAATAAATCACGAAGAAATAATCAGTTTTTATAATGCTCTTTAAAAAAAAAAAAAAAAAAAAAAACTTAATTTTTACATACAACCTTTTTGCACTGACAAAGACAATATGTAGCTATTCCAAATCAACTTTAGCAGTATAATAATTTTTTTCTCTCTACTTTTCACCCATAGGTCAAATTCAATAAAATAATCACTCTCAGATCATTGATTATCTTTATTAATTTATACGTTAATTAAGTTAAATACACATTTTAAATGTGATTAATTTTAAAATCAAGCATGACTGCTTCAGGATAGAACCTATAATGTATTATTTATATCATTTTAGATGCTTAAGATGAAAACAAAGATTCTCCAAAACTAACAAATTAATAAAGAATCATCAACAAACTGAGAGTAATTATTTTATTGAATTTAACCTTTAGGCAAAAAGTAATGCGAAGATAATTAATGAAAAAAGGGCCTAATTGAAAATTAGTATAACAATTTATCCTTTTTTTTATATCGGTGTCAAGCCATATATTATACCTTTATACCCTGTATATTACATCAAAAATATTGGCCCAACAACTAAAAGATGCTGATGGTTGTATAAGAATACCTCAAATTAGCACATTTCTTGCTACAAATGGATAAGGTAAGTTTGAATGATAAAACCTGCCTTTATTATTAAGATGAGGATACAACTGTCCTTTAACTATATGACATTTGATAAGAAAAAGTAGTTAGTAACCAAGTTAAAACTTTAGAGGGTATTCCTTTTCTGACTAGAGATCTAAGGTAGAAAGAATTAGGCTACCAAATTTACTAAGCTAAAGCATTATAAATGTAATATCCATGAGGTATTTATTTAAAAAGCAAAAAATATAAACTAGATTCAATTTAAATTAAATTCAGCTATCTTTCTAAAGTACCTAAGTTTATTTATTGAATGTCTATCTTTCATTTAATGTTCTAATATAGTTATGATCTAATGTCTAATATGACGAGTTACAAATATAACTGAAAAGTTATATGAGAATAAGAACTATATTAAAAAAAAAATTATATGAAGTCCTGCATGTTTGATGTTATTGCTGTAAACATACAAAACCAATCAAGGTAGGTCAGATTAATAGGTTGGATTTTATCATTAGAAAATTATGAATGTCAAAAATTAAAAAGATATATATTTAGTCTCTGGATAAAAAGGCTTGTTAAGAAAGGATGGGAATGGATGAGATAAATGTTAGCATAATAAACGCAGACTCTATGGGGACGATCAAACCTCCCCTCTTAATAATACCTAAGAGTGGGCAAGAATATAATTTCGCTCTCTCCCTTCAATAATATTAATTATTAAATTTAATAAAAATAATATAATTCCCTCCTCAAAATTAAATCTTGGATACGCCACTGCTCTACTTGGAGTAGAAATTATTTTCTAGCAAAATTGTACCATCGCAAAAACTATTTAAAATGCTTTTTTTTTTTATAAGCTAAACCTTATAGAACACATTTTTGAATTTTGGTCACATTTATCAATGCAAAAACTCATTCAGATCATCAAAGTAACTTTTTATTCTTTCTCTACTTCCTTTGTGCCTTTCAGCATGGAGGTGCCTCGATCCATGCATCCCAAGCATTTCGGTTCCGAGCTAGAGCCCTCATATCTCCTATCCTCATACCTCTTTTCTGCCCGATCTGGGAGATGTACTCCATCCACGACAAGCTGGGTCTTCCTCTTGGGCGCT